TTTTTTTTCTTGGTCACATCAACATATAATTTAATTGTGAATTTTTTTCTAAATATTATACTCTCTTGTGTGAGACGGTCCAAATTTTACAGCCACGAACATTCTAGAATATCAGCCATTAAGACCGACCTATTTTTGTAGTATATCCTCTTCTTTGTTTATTTCCATAAGATAATAAGGCTTTTTAAAAAGGGAAAAAACACTTTTCTTTGATGACAAGAAACATAATTATCTTCTTCTATGTAAACAACACACACCTGTCGGTTTATTAATTCACAAAGGAAAACGAACTGATCACTTCACCGAAATTACACATATACCTCGAAGATATTTTCTTCTTTCTTCTCCACTTTTCTTTGCAAAGCTCTCTCTACTTGAACACCATCCATGGCGAATCAAGCTGAATCATCTGATTCGTAAGTATTTACTGATTGCAGAGTAGTTTCTTTTTTTCATCTATAGCTCTAGATTTTCCCTTAAGGGTTTTTGATTTCTGAACATTTCAGGAAGGGGACAAAGAGGGATTTTAGCACAGCGATTCTCGAGCGGAAGAAGGCGGCGAATCGTTTGGTGGTCGATGAGGCAACCAACGATGATAACTCCGTCATTTCTCTTCACCCTGAGACCATGGAGAAGTTACACCTCTTCCGTGGAGACACAGTTTTAATCAAGGTCTGAATTTTGTCTCTTTCTTCTTCTTTTGGTCCCTTTGTCTGAATTCATGCAATAATTCAGTTTAATGTTTTTTGTCTTTTCGGTTTCTAGAATTGGAATCTCTCGATGTTATGCTCTTCTGTTTTGGGAATGTTTTATTCAACTGTGTGTGTGTGTATTGACATGTTCTTTTTTCCTCTCGTTTTGCGTATCGTCTTGTGTTTGTTGCAGGGAAAGAAGAGGAAGGATACTGTGTGTATTGCTTTAGCTGATGATACATGCGAAGAACCAAAGATTAGGATGAACAAAGTTGTTAGGTCGAACCTTAGAGTTAGGCTTGGAGATGTTATCTCTGTTCATCAATGCCCTGATGTCAAATATGGGAAGCGTGTTCACATCTTACCCGTAGATGATACCATTGAAGGAGTTAGTGGAAACATATTTGATGCATACCTCAAACGTGAGTGTCCTGTTTTGCTCTGTTTTATATGTTTCTTGATGTGTACAGCAGTTTAATGTTAGTATCTGTGTGTTGGGTTTTGTATCTTGGTAGCTTATTTCTTAGAGGCATACCGTCCGGTGAGGAAGGGTGATCTTTTCTTAGTGAGAGGAGGGATGAGAAGTATTGAGTTTAAGGTTATTGAGACGGATCCTGCTGAGTACTGTGTGGTTGCTCCAGATACAGAGATTTTCTGTGAGGGTGAGCCGATAAAGAGAGAGGATGAGGAGAGGTTGGATGAAGTCGGGTATGATGATGTCGGTGGTGTCAGGAAACAAATGGCTCAGATTCGGGAACTTGTTGAGCTCCCATTGAGGCATCCACAGCTTTTCAAGTCCATTGGTGTGAAGCCACCCAAAGGAATCTTGCTCTATGGACCGCCTGGTTCTGGGAAGACATTGATTGCTCGTGCTGTTGCTAATGAGACCGGTGCGTTTTTCTTCTGTATCAATGGTCCTGAGATCATGTCAAAGCTAGCTGGTGAGAGTGAAAGCAACCTTAGGAAAGCGTTTGAGGAAGCTGAGAAGAATGCACCATCGATCATTTTCATTGATGAGCTCGATTCCATTGCTCCGAAGAGAGAGAAGACACATGGAGAAGTTGAAAGAAGGATTGTTTCTCAGCTCTTGACGCTTATGGACGGGCTTAAAGCACGAGCTCATGTGATTGTTATGGGAGCTACCAACCGTCCCAACAGCATTGACGCGGCTTTGAGAAGATTTGGACGGTTTGATAGGGAAATTGATATTGGTGTTCCTGATGAGATTGGTCGTCTTGAGGTTCTCAGGATTCACACCAAGAACATGAAACTCGCAGAAGATGTAATGTTTTGTTCTGTTG